CCCCCCCCCAAAAAAAAATAATAATTCATAGAGGCAGAAAGCAGATGGTGGTTACCGGGAATGGCGCAGACAGAGCTGGGGTGGGGGTGTAACGGAGTGTAAGTACAAGACCACATTTCCTGGGGTGGTGGCTGTTCAGCTTCTTGACTGTGTTCCTGGCTTCACTGACACCTACATTTGACAGCTTGAATACGCGCAGTTTACCTTGAGTGCATGCCAATAGTGTTACAAAATAATTTTCAAAGATATTATTTTTGGAATTTATGTACAAAGGTAGTCTTCCTTAACGTATTTTATTATATACCAAAATATCTAAAACTGAAGCTCACAAATCTCTGATTTACAACTATTGTGGGGAACTGCCGTTTCCTAAGTGTGCAGTGACGTGGGGAAAAGACCCCTTTTGGGGGCCACGCTGCCTCCTTGTGAGACAAGTTGGCACTGCGCTGTGGCTGGCATCGGAGCGCGGAAGGTGCAGTCCAGGGGACAGCCCGGTCACAGGGCTGGCAAGGCCCCTCCTCCGCCACACCTCACTCCCCGGAGAGGTGAGCGACTGCAGTTTGGAAGGAGAGGAGGCGCATTTGACGGAATTCAGCCATTGTTGGTGCCACACAGCCCAGGCAGTGAGGAGCCCCGGTCCACAGACGCAGCCGTGGGGCAGCACTGGAGGGGCATCTGCAAGCGGCAGTGGAAGAAGGCGTGGCGAGGTGACCCGGTCCCCAGGCTCCAGAGTAACACGACCTTATAGGCAGATCCCGAGCGGTCCCGGGCCCCCTCACTGCCTCTGCTGCTCTGCTGCTCCCAAAGGCAGCAGCCCTCTCCCCCATGGGCACACAGAGGGTCCTCAGAGAACTGCCAGAGACACAGAGTCAGGAGGCCACCAGCCCAGAGCCAGACCTGACGTGGTGTCCGCATCAGCGGCTGCGACGGCCCGTCACACAGAGTACTGCAGTCACCCCAGCCGCCCCCGGCCGCACACTCCGTAGCGCGTGCACAGGAGGAATAACGAACAACCGTAAGCAGTGGGGCTGATCAAGCACTCAACCACTTCACTTCTGGGTGTTAGGAGCTATTCCCATCCTCATGTTGAGTTTAGGTCTGGGACTCTTGCTGTTTTATTTCTATTGCCCTAACCCCCACCCCTCTTTGAGACAGGGTCTCACTATGCAGCTCAGGCTGGCCTTAAACTCACTTTGTACCCCAGGCTGGCCTCAAACTCACAGTGATCCTCCTGCCTCAGCCTCCTGACTGCTGTGCCCTAGCTTCTAAGAATCTCAGAGAAAAATCTACAAGCCATGCCTGGGGCAAGACAGCTTGGGGAGACTGAGCCGCGCAAGTCCTGACAACTCCAACAGGGGGCGATCAACACCAAGCTTTGCCTTGCACCAATTTCCTGGGGCTCTGCAAGTGGCTCGCTATCGCAGTCACACAGGTGGATTTGGGGCACAGCTCCTTCCCAGAGCCCTGGCTGTCCTGCATAACAGGGCCTTATGCCATACAACACTCAGCCTCAGTCTGCAGGCTGCCTCTGCTCTGCAGTGCTCTCCTGCTCAGTGTTCCAAACTGCCCCAGACCTTCACCTCCTAGTGGTCCTCCTTCAGTCCTTGCACCAAGGGGCTTCCGAGTCCAGGAGGAGGCCGCTCCCCCACCCCTGTCCCCACCAAAGCAGCACACACGAAAAACCAGAAAGAAAAAACTCAAGTCTTTATTGTCTGATTAAAGAACTGACTAGTGGGGCAAGAGGGGCGTGTGGGGAAACCTCTGGCTCTGGGTAGTCGGGAACTCCTGTTAACTGTATACAAAATGCAGATGTTACAAAAATCACTTAGAAAATGGGCCAGCAAAGCAGAAGCCCTTGCAGGGGGCTCAAGGCACAAGAGAAATGGCCTGCCAGGGTTCCTGGGGCGTGGCCAGGGCACGGGGGCTGGGGCTGCACCCTGTCCCTCCAGCCCTATGGAGTCACTCTTCTCTTCCCACTCACAAATTACTGGAAAACTGCCCTCCAGCAGGGCATAACGACCACCGGCCAAGGCACTGTCAGAAATAAAATGGGCCACAGCCAAGCACTCAGCTCCCCTTGACCCCACAGCCCAGGCCTGAAGCAGGCACGGCGGGGTCCGTGGCCCTGCAGTGTGGGCACAGAATTCTGAGCACACAGCGGTGCAGCAGCCTCTTACGGGAGGCTCAGGCCACCCCCAGGGCAGGGGCCATGGGATGCCACACAGCCTGGGCCCTGGTCAGTGCCACGTGGACAGGGGGACCACAGTGCAGCCCTGTCCAGCCTGAGTGGACCAAGCACTGCCACCCGGCACAGTCCTGCTGAAGCCACCATCCCAGGCACAGCCCTAATTAGGGTAGCACAAGCAGCACCCTGTGCCCACCGCCTCCATGCTGGGCTGGGTGCCAGGGCCCAGGAGCCCATCGGTGACAGAGTGCTCCATGATGATGTCCTCCACTCGGGTGATATACAGGAGCGTCAGCAGCACCCCCAAGAACTGCAAAATCAAGGCAGCGCTGGTGAGCACCTTGTGCATCAAGGCAGTCCTCCCAGCCATTCCCAGGCGCCCCAAATGCAAGCAGCCAGCCAGAAGCCCTCCTGGCACTGGGCGGCCTAGGAAACCCCCATAGCACAGTGCCCCCACCGCCCAGGCGGCGCAGCCTGCACCTCGCTGGAAGCCCCGGGGACCTCCTGGTCCCACCGCCTCCTCCCCAGCCCTGCCACTGTATCTCGGGGAACTAGGACGTCACTTCACCTTGCCCAGGCTGCTTCTCTGGGAAATGGGCAGAGTAGTCACATCTGCCTTGCAGAGAGCATTAAAGGAGACAGCGCCCAGGGAGCACACGGACAAGCTTGGCAACCATGGTTACTGCCACTCACCCTCCCTCCAGCAACCCCCCCAGCTCCAGCTGCCCACCTGGGGGAGCAGGATGCCCAGCAGGAGCCCCGCCATGATGGTGTAGTTGTCCATGAACCAGATGAGCACGGCGTTGGTGCAGCCCCGGACGTAGATGATGTTCTGCACGCTGAGGCGCTGCGCGGGAGGGGCCGGTCAGCTGGAGCCGGCTCTGCCCCCCACTCATATGCGACATGGGGAGGTGACCCGGACCACTCGTTCTCTAGTACTGGGAGCGCTGGGGAACACTGTGGTGACACTTGGGCTGTCCAAGTGATTGGCACTGGGGACTGAGGGACTGCAGAGCTTGGGGACAGTCCTATCCCACAAACAACTGTCCAGCCTACAGGCACTGGTGTGGGTGGAAAACCAACCCATAATCCCCTAAGCTGAAAGTGGGACTAGCTCCAGGAAAGGTAAACATAACATGTTTTCTACACTGTTTTAATTTACAAGAAATTTTTCAGATCTACTACAATGTAAATGAAGGAAGGATCATATAGGCTGAGAATCCCTAACCCTAAATCTGAAATACTCCAAACTCTAAAATCTTTTGGGCACTGTTATGATGCTACAAGGAGAAAATTCTACATCGTGAAGTTTTGTTTCATGCACAAAATGATTAAAAATTGTGTGTGAAATTACCTGCAGGCTATGTGTAGAAGGTGTATATGAAACATAAATGAATTTCATGTTCTGACTTGGGTCCCCTACCCAAGATACTTCATTACGAATGTGTAAATATTCTAGAATTCCCACCAAAAAATCTGAAATCCAAAATACTCTGGTCCCAAACATTTCAGATATTCAACCTGTATTCAGACTTTTATCAAGAATTGGTCATATTTTTTCTTCACTGACTGACTGACTGACTGACACAGGTCTCACCATGTTGCCCAGGTTGGCCTCAAACTCCTGGGCTCCAGTGATCCTACTGACTCAATCTGTTGTGTAGCTGGGACTACATCTGGCTCTTGTTAAAAAGAGTCAAAAAATTCCACTTTAAAAAGACCACGGCAAAGGAAAAAAAGGATGCCCGTGGTAGACAGTCACCCACACAGCAGGTGTGTACCAGGGGCCCCAGGTGTCAGTCTCGGGGATCCCCCCCAACCTGCAAATGCTGTTCCACTGTCTTCTGCCACATCTAACAACAGGTGGAGCTCTTACGTGTTAAAATCTTTTATGGAATTGCAAATTGCATTATTTTATTTCTCTGTTACCACAGTTAGATCATGATGCTGACTATTTAGAAACTAGGTGTGGAGGCGGATTATAGTACTATAGCTATAGGTTTCATTTTCAAATAGTAGGGCATTAAGAAGCCCTATTGTGCAAGAGAGCCGTCAGCTCTGGTGGGTTGAGCACACTGCTGATTGCAGATCTCTAACGAATGTGTGCTAGGATCGCCTGCTGGCTCCACCCCAGAAGTCTGCACTTCTAACAAGGTCCTGCGGGGTGCTATAGGGCCGGCTGGGGGATCCCACCGTGTAAGCCAGTGCGCAGAGGGCTCCCAGCCACCTTTCCTGTTAACTCCCTTCCCAGCATCGCCCCTGGTGCTCGCCTAACCCAGGCCAGCTGACAGAGAGCGTGCAGACTCCTGGTCCCCGGCGGAGGGCACCGGGTAGGCTGTCTGCAAGCTGGTGACCCCAAGGGCAGAGGACAGCTGGGTCTGAGCCGGGGCTGGCATATGGCACAACGTAGCACGCCAGGGTCCTGGCAGGTGGCCTCACGCCCAGAGGAGGTGCTCAGCAAAGCATGGCAGGTGGCCTCGAGCTCCCCAAGCCCTCTTGTGCCAGCAGTTCTGGCCCCAGGGCAGTCACCTCAAAACACCCCGTGCCCCACCCTGGGACTGGGACCAGGACAGCAATGCTTCTGGGGGCCGGGGACTTCAAAGACGTTACCTCCTTGTCGATGGTCTTATAGCCACACATAGTATTGACAACATCTGTCTGAAAGAGAAATGTCACAGTTACCGTGCATCTTCCCTTCCCCCTCCTCCAGCAGCTGCCCGGAACCGCAGAGGAAAGCAAGCTGCCCTGGGTCCCCAGCAAGGCCCAGCCCCAAGCCACCGCTTTGCTCCCTGGGTCACGCTCTTCCCACACTACTGCATCTTATGAAGGAAAACCTGGGGCCACGGCCCCACCAGCTGAGAGCAGGGCTGGCTCCTGGGCATGCTTTCGTGTCCCTGAGACCCTGGCTTCACCAGGGGCTGGAAGTTCCTTGCTGGGAAGGGAACTGCTCTCCAGAGCCCCCAGCTGCCGGTTAATTTAGGCCCAGGGAAAGCTGTAGGCCCAGACCCAAACCCTATCAAATGGCTTCCCAGGCAGGCCCCATGTCACAGGCAGGCAAGGCCACTGCATCACCACCCGCGCCCCGGGGGATCTCCACCCCTCTCCATAAGATGAAAGAGGCACACCCTGGGTCCAGCTCATGACCCCTGCCAGCAGTCCCTCCCTATCTAAGTGAATGTTCTGTGGGGTTTGGGGCACAGGCACCCCCAGTGGCATAGGACGGACACAGCTGGGTGGCCACTGTGGCCTCTGGCCCCACACCTCCTGCATCCAGATCTTGTTCTGCAACAAAGAAAGCTGCACTTAAGAAGGCGGCACTCAGTCGGCCACTGAGGCACCAGCAGACGGGACCCCGGGGAAGCAGCTGAGTGAATGAACAGGCTCCTCCATAGAGTCGCGGGACAGTCGTGAGTCACCTTGTGACCTTTAGGACATGAAGTGAAATATACATGCAGCCTCCTGATCTCAGAACTGGGTACAAAGAACAGCACTGGCTGGGGTGACACTGTCCACGACCCCAGTCCTTGGAAAAGCAAGGAGAAGTTGGGCCTCAGATGCTGTCCAGGTCACTCTAAATATCAGGGACCTGCAAGTCCCTCCTCCTAGACTGCCCCATGGATGCCCTAAGACCTAGCAGCACCCAGTGTCCAGGTGGCACCAGGTCCATCCAGGCCATAAGCGTGGCCCTCTGGCGAGGCTCGAGTCCGGAGAGCAGGTGCAGGAAGGTATGATGGGCACAGGGGCTTCTACTTCCGCCATTCATTCATTCATGCATTGAACCAACATTAATTAGGCACCTACGGTATGCCAGCCACACTTCTAGGGACTTGGAATATAGAAGAACAAAATCCCTGCCCTCGGGAAACTCATAGTCTGGAAGAGGAGGTGAGAACATAAGACAGAAGTAAACTACACAGAACATAGACATGACCAAAGCAGCCTCGGCTGAGCTGACCTGGATGCAGGATCACGCTGTGCCTGGTGAACTGGGCAGCACAAAGGCGCAGCTCCCTTGCCCCAGTACCAGGCAACGCGAAGGCGGCACCCACATCGATTCGGCTGAGGCCCCAAGCCAGCTGTGTGGAAGCTGCACCAATGCGCAGCATCTCCCCCTGCCCTGCCTGGCTTCCAGCCCTGCCCGCCCACCAACCCTTCTGCTCACTAACCAGCACTCAGTCAGCACCTCCTGCCATTCAAGGGCACACGGGAGTCCTGCCCGCGGCCTGCAGGATGCCCATGACCTCCCTCTCTGCCTCCCTCTGGCCCCTGCAGCCCCCTCCCTCACTGCCTTCAGAACCCTCCTATAGGAAGTGGCAGTGCCCCACCCCTGTGCTTTCTGTCCTTAGCACTTACCCACTTCTCACACTCTCTTTTCCATCTTTGTCAGTTTTCCATGTGGGCAGAGGCTTTGTGTGCCTGCTGTACTCCCACAGCCTAGAAATGTGCCTGGCACATAATAGATGCTCAACCAGTACCTGTTGCGTGAATGAATGAATGAATGAATGAATAAGTTGGGCTTCCATATCTAGCCTGGACACTCAGTGCTGCTCCCCCAGGTGAGGAGGTTCGGGACCAGCTGCTGCAGCCTCCTGAAGCCCTGGGCCCCCACATGGCACTCGCTTGGCCCAGTGACCTGCCCTAAATGGCAGCTAGTGTTTCCAAACAAGCTCCCTCCAGCCCGGCCTTCTCAGGGCGAGTGCAGCTGGCACAGCCCCTGCCTCCTGGGTGACGCCCCACTGCAGCTGCTGGGTTTACAGACTCAGGCAGTGGGCATCGGCTGGCAGAGATGTCAGCATGGAAACTTTCCATGATTGTAGGGCGTGAGCAACTGCATGGCTTTCTGCTAGTTACGCACAAGGACTAACGGAGTGGTGACTGCACAAGATGACATCCCAAGGGACTAAGGGGGTAACAGCTAAGAGATCAAGCCTGGGAGAGGCAGAGGCTGACCTTTACATCACCATCCTCCTGGGCACTGTGTGGGTGGGGATCACTGGAGACACCCAAAGGGCAGGCCCTGCTCTGCTAGCACTGCAGACTCTGAGCTTGCTGAGCTCCGGGCTGCAGCTGCTGCTCCCGGCCTCTCCTGCAGAGCGCTGGGCTGAAACAGCTGCCAGCACGTCACCCCAGCCCTGCTGATCTAAGGCAAGACACCTAACCTTTCGTGCCTCAATCTCGTATAGCCGCTACCTTACATGTCATTGTGAGGACTGGGTTAGTTAGTAAAACCAAAGAGCCTGAAGCAGGCCCGCAGGAGCTCAGCAGATGCTGACTGAGCCCACTCATAAAGACAAGGCCCCCATGCCGCACCCATGAGCCCCCCTCGAAGGAGCCGCCAAAGCTCAGGAAGCCCCAGCTCTGGCTACCACCTCCTGCCTGCCTGCCCTGACCCACACCATCCACACCTCCATCTTCAGCAGTGTCGGACCAGCAAGTGGCCTCCTGTCCCCACCCCAGGAGAGCACTACCTTGTTCCGGATGCAGCAGGTGTAGGGCACCCCGCAGGCCAGCGGGCCAGGGGCGCTGCAGTCGTGGTACTGGTTTTTGCTCCAATCTCGGTAGTCTTCCCCGCCACAACACTTGAACTGAGAAAAACAGCAAACAGAAAAGAGGAGCTTCCGGTCAGTCAGGTGGCCAGAAGGGAGCCAGGAGCCGATGCAGTGTGCTGCGTGGGTCACCCTGGCGGGGGAGTGACAGCAGGTGCACACTGTCAGGTCAGAACTACTCAGGAGTGGTGTGGCTGGGGGTAATGAGCACCCCATCCTGGCAAAGTATGCAAGTCAAGGCTGGGATGCCTCGGGGTGGACATCAGAGCGATGACTGGATGCAGGAGGGACAGTCCCTCCTTGGCAACTGGACTGTTCCTTCTTCATCTTCACGTCACTGGCATTGGGCTGGGGAAGCAGGCCTTTATCATCCCGGAGACCATGGTCCTGAGGAAGTCCCCGCTCCGCTGAGCTCAGCACACAGGTGGTGGCCTCGGGCTCTGCCCTGGGCTCTGCCCTGAGCCCTGCCTTCCCACCTCTGCCCCTGCACCAGTGCTCACTCTGAGAGCAGCAGCCAACTGCTCCCTGGAGGCACTGACTTGTGCTAGGCACCGTCTGGGCTCTGGACAGACAGGGTGAGCAAACCCAGGGGAGGGAGACAGTGTATGCACTACATGGAAAGGCAGGAGGGGGTGCCGCTGTATGGCGGGGGCACAGGGGAAGGAACAGGATGGGGTGGCTTTAGTTTGGGTGTTGGGAAAGGCTGCTCCAAGGAGAGGACATTTTATCTGAACCAGGAGCAACAAAAAAAGCAATCAACATGTGCAAAGGCCCTGCAAGAAAATGAGCCTGTTTCAGCCGCAGCTGCAAAGGCCAGTGGGTCTGGAACAGAGTAAGTGAGAGAGGGCAGGGAGGATGGCAGAGAGGACAGTGCACAGCTGGGGTCGCATGCCAGGAGCAGCACGAGGCCAGCCAGGGAATGCTATGGCAGGAGGTCCTGGTAGCACCACAAACCAGACTCTCCTAAGTCCCCACAGTGTCCTTTAGGCCATCAGGTTTGGGGACTTGCAAGCGCCTGTCTAAGATGTGGTTCAAGGGGCATTTGCTGTGCAACCAGACAAATCCTCATTCTAATCTTCACACCAGCATCTCAGCTGTGTGGCTGCAAGCAAGCTGATCAGGCTCTCTGGGCCTCAGGTCCTTGTGTGTAGAAGAGGAAGAGTAAGAGAAGCTTTGCAGAGCTGAGCAGTGCCCGCCAGAGAGGCTGTGTGTAGAGTACTCTGCCTGGGGCGGCACCAAGCAGGTGCCTGGTGAGCATGAGTCACTCCTCCCGCTCCCAGAGACGTGAAATCCCCACCCTGCTGAAGGCTGCGTCCAACAAAAACATCTCCCTCTACCCGAGTGCGAGTGTGCGTGACGGCTGTTTCCACCAGAGCTGGCAGCACGGTGCTGGCAGGAAAGGGCCTCCCGGAGGAGACTGCACCTGTTCTGACTACAGAGGAGCCCAGAGCCAGGGCCCTGGGCGTGGTGAGAGGCTGGTTCCCACCAAGGCCTGGAACAGGGGAGCTGAGCAGCCGAGCACCCAAGATCATGTCCCAGGAGGTGCTGCCGGGCAGAGTGGGGCAGTGGCTGTCCCCACCCAGGAGCCTAAGGACAGCCCTGCTGCTATACTTGCTGGGGCCTTATCACCAAGTCTCTGGTCTGTTCTAAGCTTTTTTTTTTTAGTACTGGGCATTGAACCAGGGTCTTCACAAAGAGCTATATCTCAAACTCTTTTCTATATTTTGAGGCAGGGTCTCACTAAGTCACTAAGTTGCCCAGGTTAGCCCCAAACTTGTGATCCTCCTGCCTCAGCTTCACAGAGTGCTGGGATCACAAGTGTGCACCACCATGCCCAGCTTCTTCTGAGCACTTCTGAAAGAAGTCAAGGTCATCCTCAGAGCAAGGCCAAGGGACCTGAGCCTTGACACTTCGGGAGATGGATGGAGAAAACACCGAGGACAGGGGCTGGCGCTGTGGCTGATGAACAAGGTGCTAAACTGGGGGCTCACCTGCTTCTGAACAAAGTCCATGATGTTTTTGAAGTCCAGGTCGTCATAGTAGTTCTCAATTCCTCTTCGAATGTTATCATTCAGAAAGTCAATGGTCTGTTAAGGAGAGATCACAAAGGAAAAGGACCATGCACAAAGACTAACCCAAGAGTTCCTGGAAGTCGGGACTGGTAGAGGGCACTGTGTGCTTCCCGGCAGCACCAGCGCCACCTGTGAGCAGGGTCCCCTCCACTCCCTATCTGATTCCCATGACCTCCCTGTGCCCAGGCCCTCCCCGTGCCCCTGCCCTCCCCAGCCTCCAAGGCCCAACACATGCCTAAGGGCCTGTACAACATCCTCCACAGATGGACGGCCCAGGTCCTGGGAGCGAGAGCCCTGCCTGGGAGCGCTGGGCTCTGAAGCAGCCACACTCAGGCTGGCTCAGCCGTCTTGGTACCAGCCCTGTGCTCTTTCTGCCACCCAGGGACAGGTCTGAGCTTGCACCTCCCCTTCTCCCTCCACAGCCCCGCTCCAAACTCCCTCATCCAGCCTGAAGCTTTACAGAGAAGGAAACGGAGGACCCACAGGGAGGGAGTCGGTGGGAGAGGGCTCGCCCTGGGCCACAGAGCAGGCTGGTTTGGGCCTGGCAGGAGCTGGAATTCGAGTCTCCTGACTTCCTCTACGGGCCTCCCTCTCCATCACCGTGGTGCTGGGGCCCACAGGCCCGGCACTCCCCTCCCAGCCTGGGCAGGGGCAGTCCCATGGGAAAGAGTGCTGGCACGCTGCCCTCTCCCCGTCACACTGGGCTTTCTGGATCAACAGCCCGGCTGTTGTGCTGAGATCCAGGGCACAAAGGGGCCCACAGCAAGCCAGGGTGGGGGCGGAGTGCGGGCTGCCCATCTCCATGCTGCCTGTGACAATCAGGGCTTTCAGAGCACCGAGGCCGAATATCAGCAGAGCAGGGACAAAGGGGCATTCTTGGCTTTGGTGCCAGAGAGAAGCCAGGCAATTCCTAGGGGAGGCATCCCGGTATACCCAGGGTATACAACCAGGTCCCGGTTCCAGGCCCCCTCCCAGCTCACTTCCCCTTCCTGGGCCTCAGTTTCTCACGGTGAGCCAAGGCTGTAGGCCTATCTGTAAGGCACGGTCCAGATCTGAGGGCCAAGGACCAAGCTGAGAGGGACTGTGCAGCCTCGCTGTTAAGGACATGGTCCCTGCAGTCATCAGACCGCAGTCACTTCTACTAACTTCTGAGCCTCCAGATCCTTACCTGTAAAACTGGGAGGCAACTGCCTCTGCCTCACAGGGATGCTGTGGGATTAAACAGGACTAAATCTCTGGAAGTGCTAAGCAGGAAGCCGGGCACATGGTAGGTCCTGGTGTTATAAACTTGTACTATTTTTCCAGGGGACAGACACCTCATGGTACCACCGCTCAGACCCACCATGTCAGGAGCAGAAAATGGAGATTCCAAGAGGAAAGTGGGGCCCCAGCTCTCATCTAAAGACCCCCTGCTATACAGGTAGCCTCTGGGGGAGGGTCACCTTCATGGATATCCTGTAGCCCAGAGAAGGATGTCACTTGCCCAAGTCACCCAGTGGCCTGAGAGATGCTGAGATCAAGGTGCCAAACTCCCAGCCTGACGTTTTTAGGGTGCCAAGCGAAACCCCCAAGGTTCAGACCTGGGGTCATCTCTCCAAACTGTCTCTAGTACCGGAAGAGAGAACAAAGACAGCCAGGGCCACCTCCTCCCCAAGACCATGCTGCTCAGAGCCAAGGTGACAAGGCGCCCAGGGACAAACAGGGCACTGGCCTCTGTGGGCAGGTTGGAACTGTTGGCCATGGCCCACACCGGTCTGGTGCTGGGCAGGGGCTGGGCGGGCTGGCTGCCTGCAGCCACACAGCCTGGGCATAGCAAGGACCTGGCAGGTCCAGGTCAGAGAGCCTCTCCAGCCTTCAGTGTCTGCTCCACTGGGTGGACAAGGGACAGGCCAGCTGGCTGGGGCTTGGAGGGGTGGGGTCAGCTGCTCCCCAAGGTGGGGCAGGGGATGAGTGCACAGCTCACTGGGGTGACACCAGTGTCAAGAACACCCCTCGGGCCACCATCATGAGAATGTGATGTCTTCCACATTTGGGGCACTGCAGCCACAGCCCTGGCCCACTCTGGCCCTCTGCACCTAGCCTGGCCCACTCCCACCCAGCCTGTCTCTGGGTCACTGCGCCCTATGGACGCCCTCAGAGCCAGTGACAGAGTGGGATGACGGCAGGAGGCCCAGGCTAGGCAGGCAGAGAGGGCAAAAAGAGGCTGGTGGGCATGGGCCAGGTCCTCCCTCCTCTAGGAGTAGCACTGGCCTCTGTCCCCAAACCACCACGAGCATTTGCAAGGGTGCAGACTCCATGCCAGGCCTTGCTGAGAGTCGGGCCGGAAAGGGAAGGGAAGGGAGGGGAATGGGCAGGAGCAGCAGAAGGCTCAGGCCCTCTGACAGCAGCTGCTCCGGCTCCCATGGGGAGATCTCTGGGCCATGCTGGCTCTCGTGATCGTGTTGACTTCTGTGTGTGCGTGTGCACTGGGGGAGGGGAGGCCACTGAGGGCTTCGCTGGGAAGGGCGGTGAGGCAGTCTCACGAGGGCACAGGGGGCGCAGTTTGTTAACTGTGAAGTGCTCACCAGGGTTGGCAGTGCCTGTCATGTTCGGAGGGACTTCAAATCCAGTCAGGAGACATGGCCTGTAGCAGCAGACGGGGAGGTGGCCTCCACTGCAGCTCCTGGAGGCCACAGCCACCAGTGTCACCATGCCTGGCTGTAAACCATGTCATGGCAGCAGGGGCAGCCCCAGTGAGGACTAGAAAGGACCTTTCACCAAGTGCCAGCAGGGCATCAGTGGTCACATGGGCCTGGCTAACTAAAGCCAAGAGTAAGTAAACATCAAAGCCACCGTGATTTCAGAGCGCATTGCTTAAGCCACCAGAGCTAGAAATAATTGCCCTTTCTAGTTATTTCTTGCAGATCCCGTTTTTTAGCTACCCAAGGCCTCTGAAAAGGCGCATCAGTGTTCTCAGTGGCTGAGAAAGGAAAGAGGCGGGCACCCAGGGCTTCCCCAGCAGCATCGGAGGCCCCAGCAGTGCAGCTGCACCCAACTCCAAGAATCACAGAATCCTGTGGTGAGGGAGGTTACACCCAAGTGTCCCAGGTGAAAGCACTAGGGGCTTGTGTGACTGGCACCTGAAGGGTACAGTCTTGGGGTCTAACCCCTCAGCCTGTGGGATGTGATGCCATCTCCTGGTGAACAGCGTCAGCCCCGAGCTGACTCAGAGGACACCTCGCTGGGGTCTGCTGCTGAACGGATGGCGTGCCTGGAACATGAGAAAAGCCTCACACATCCGGGGACCACAGAGGTGACCTGGCCTGCCAGTGTGTGGGAGGAGAAACTGAGTTTGCATTTATTTTTTTCACAGACACCATGGCCCACTCCGCAGAGCTGAGAGCCCCTTCCCGGCTGCCCACCAAGACTCTCACAAGGGCACCCCACCCAAGGGAGAGGGACCACTTCACAGGCTGTGGCACCTGCAGATGGTGGAGACAACTGGAAACTCGCCCCTGGCCACAGCCGCATGACTTCCTGAAGGGCCCCGGGGACTTGCAAGGCCTCAGCCCCGCTCCCTCACTTGAAAGGCTCTCGTGTCTTGGCCCTCACTGACCTATGGAGCCTGGAAAGCGGCAAACTCCACAGCCTCGGCAAAAGCATGCTGGGACTAGGCCTGCTGCTCACTCAGGAGCAGGCCATTTATTAAGCGCATGGAAGCTGCTAATCACAAACTCTCCCTGGGTCCAGCCAGGAAAGCACTCCCCCAACCCTGGAAGGCATAGGCTGGCCAGAAGCTCTAAGGGCTGCACAGAACAGCGTCCTCAGAGGCAAATGAAAGAGCCACTCTCCCTCCTCAAGTTGCTGGCAAATGAGTTAGTATCCTGGATCTGCTAGCTCAGAGCAGAGAACCAGAGTAGAAAAGAGGAAAAGGGAAGAATGGAGAGCGTTTCTGGATTGGGAAGCAGCCTTGAGCTGTCAGCCTCCTGTGTGCTCTAGGAAGGGTTTCTTAATCTCTCTGGGTATCGATGACTCCATCAGTAATGATGAGAACTGCCCCTCCCCTATTCTGGGGCTCACCCTTGGATCCCGGGGTGTAGACTTGCTAGGTAGATCGTACCTTAGGAGGCCTGGGCAGAACAGGTGTGGTCCCTGTTCCCATCCGGGCTGGGACACCAGACACAGCCAGGAAGAGTGTGGCAAGGGTCAGACACTGAACTGGTTGAGGCCCCAGCTTTGGGACAGTGTCTGCTACTGTGGGCTCAACTTCTGGCAAGAACGACGACTCAGTTGCAGCTCTAATCCATCATTCTAACGGCTACTGGAATGGCAGGAACCAAGCTGTGTCACAGACTGGGGCGCACGCACCCACGGAGTGGACAGAGAGACCTGGGCTTCTACAGATGCGCCCTGTGCCTCAAGCCCTGACCACAACACCGAAGAAGGGTGAGGACACAGAAAGATTCTGGGAGAAAAGACACAGAACCCTGAGTTAAAAGTGTGCCCTACCCACCACTCAGTTCCTGTGGGGTCTTAGATAAGAGCAGCTGTGTCCAAAATATGTCAGGTCCTTTATATTCCTTCTTTTATCCAACCCTCATTCCAAACTCCATGCACTAGTAATCGTGAGCCCCTTAAGGATCCGAGAGGTCAAGTGACTCACTCACGGCCACACAGCTAGTATGACGCACACATATGTAGACTAGGATGAAGGATTCGGAGATGAGGAGCCGTGAACATCTTTCCAGCTCCATGAGACCCTAACCCTGCAAACCCTGCTGGAGGTGGGATGCCAGGTGCTGCCCTGGAAACCTGTCTCTTCCCTCATTCCCGCACCCAGCATGACAGTCACGTAGGTGCTGCTTCCAAGACATACACCAAATCCTGACATCTCTGCCAGCCCCTCTGCCTCCTGCAGTACAGGGGAAACTCCCTGGGGGTTGTACACCTGCTCACTGGAGCAACCCTCCCCACCCTTTACAGCCCATGACACACACAGCCAGCACTCAGTAAGCACAGCACCCATAAATGAACCCCCAGGCTCACCTGGTTCCGGAAGATCAAGGCCACCACACCACCAACGAGCTCCATTATGAGGCAGATCCCAAGGATGTACATAAACTGGAAAGCAAAATTCAGAAATTCATTTAGGGGCTGGGGATATAGCTCAGCAGTATGGTACCTGCCTGGCAAACGCAAGGTCCTGAGTTCAATTCCCAGTACAAAAAAAAAAAAATTTACTTGAAGGATGGAGACAGGGCACAGGGGAAGGGTCATCTGCTCCGAGATCAGCACAGTCAGGAGACTTGCCTCTGTAGCAACGCTCACAGCTCCTGGGACCTGCTGCCCTCCCAACCCATGGGATCATAGGATGCGGACAGCTGTACCCAAGCGGCCCCAGGCAGGTGATTCTTACCCATGTGTGTTCCAGGGATCCTTAGTGGAGTTTAGGTGACAAAGTTCACCATCCTATCTACCCAAGGGAAGAGCCGGGCCTCGCCCCAGTACATCCCCAGGGCACAGACCTGGCTTGAAGGGCAGGCTGGGGCAGTGCTTCCAGCCCCCACCAAGTACCCCTCAGAAGTGGGGCGAGAGTGCTTGAAGCTTAAAGGATACACACCCCACCCCTGTATCAGAAATCAGACATCATTGAGACTCCGGCAACTTCCGGCCTCAGGCAACACAAGATCCTGCTTCTACGGGATTATAAGCGTTTTCCATAGGTGGGGAGGTGATGCGACACACACGTGAGTGTGGAGTGAGGGAATCTGCCTCACTGGTATCCCAGGCTTAAGGGAGTCATCACTCACCACAGCTTGGAGATGCAGGGAGAGTTGACAATACCTGTGACCTCAGGATGGGTACGTGACCCCAGCCAGGGCCACCAGCATCCTGAGACTCTGATCAGAGTTACCAAGAAAGACACTGGGATTAGAAGCAATAGGAACTCTGCCAGCCTGACGCTGCTGGTGAGCACCGCACAGGGAGCCTGAGGGTGACACTAGATGGGAACCGTCCCGGGAGGTGGCAAGAGACACCGCCCGAGCTATTGTTGGGTGAGCTAATGACTCACCACTCACCCCCCTCCTTCTGTCCGTCTTTGCCTGCTCTCATCCAAGTGAGGGTCCAGAGGAACATGAGCAACCACAGTACTCAAGTCCGCTTTTATAAGCAGACTCGGGGTGGCCTGGGCCCCTCTGAGGCCTGGTCTATGGGCTGACCTAGGAAACCCTCTGGAGGAGCGAGTTTTTGCAAGGACTGAAGAAACCAAGCTGCCCATGGGCCCAGGGACAGTGTCCTGGGCTTTTGTGGAGACCCCAGGGAGCCCCCCGCCATGGTCATAACCTCCATGAGGGCTGTGCAGGCCAACTCACCGCTTGAAGAAGGCACAGGTTGTCCCGCAGGGAGGCCAGCACACCGATGAAGGAGACGATGAACATGACAACCCCCAAGAGGATGAGGATGATGGCTGGGGCCAGGAAGGCACTTTCCAGGGTTTTGTACTTCTGCCGCTCCACCTCTGCATAGATCCCCACGGACAGGACCAGGGCACCGATCAGCTGCAGCAGAAGGAGGCAGTGAGGACACCGAAGGACTGCGGGCAGCCACTGACCCTCCCGTGAAAAGCCTGTCTGGCAGGCCCCCTGGCATTGAAGGGCCCCCACCCCCGGAGGGGCCACACATAAAGGACCCTGGTGTGGGCTGAACTGTTTCCCCAAACAGTCCTCTGCTGAAATCCTAGACCCCAGTTCCTCAGAATATGACTATATTTGGAGATAGGGCCTTTACAGTGGTAATTAAGTTAAATGAAGTCACCAGGGCGGCCCTAATCCAATAAGACTGGTGTCCATGTAAGAAGAAGAGATTAGGACACAGAGAAAGACCATATGAAGACCAGGAGAAGAGTGCCATTTACCAGCCCAAGAGAGGCCTGGGAAGAAACCAACCCGTCACACCTCACTCTGGGGCTTCTAATGCCCAGAACTGTGAGCACATCAGTCTGTGGCTTAAGCCAGTCAGTCTGCGGCACTGGGACGGCAGCCATCACAGACTAATGCAGACTGTCAGGCTGACGTCTAGATGTCTCCCAAAGCCTCATGCAGTCATGGGCGGGGCTTTTTCAGAGGTGGCTGGATGTAGAGTGTATAGTGCTGGGATTAATTCATGGTACAATGCTAAGATTAAGGGCACGAGTGCTACCTGCCCTAAGGACAGGTAGCCTAGGTAAGATATAAAGGGCAAAACAAGCTCTGGCTCTGCCTTGGTTGCTTTGCTGCCTTCTGCTCCATCATGAATTGTTTCTCTGCAACGCCTGTCTGCTGTGTACCCTGCCTTGGAGCCAGCTGATTGTGGACTAAACCTCTACAAACTGTGAGCTAAATAAACCTTTCCCCCTTTAACTTCTGGTGTCAGGTACTCTGTCTCAGCAATGAGAGAGATGTAACTAAGACATAGATCCTGGTGATACTTTGGGGGTGGGCACTGGTTAGGTCAGAGAACATGGGTTCCCTAGTTCTGTCGCTTGCTACTCCCAGGCCCTGAACAGGAAATGAACTCCCCAAGTCTGTGTTCCCATCTGAAGATTAGATACAACACATTCACTGTGGCCCTGCTTACCCAAGGCTCTCTGCAAGGCTGTAACCAAAACAACAAAAGTGGTGACTCTGTAAACCTAAAAGCACAGGGCCACCATGATGCCTATTAGACAGGTGACCCAAAGGACATTTCAGTGCTTCTCAGAAGAACAGACATTCCACACAGTATCATAAATCAGAAATTTACTTTCAAGATGACCATAAGGAAGGCCAAAGGATGGGATAAGAAATTTTGAGGGGATTTTCATCAAAATCCCTCATTATCAACATTTCTGACAGCAGAAACAGTACACACTGTAACTTTCCATCAGAAAAACCCAGGCTCCTCACTGCGGTCAAACACACCCATGCATTCACCCCAGAGCCTTTGCACAGGCTGTTCCCACCACCTGGAAAAGGTTTCCTACTGATATCCACATAGATCACTTCCCACTTCCTTCCATCTTTGCCCAGTTGTCACCTGTCCAGTGAAACCTTCTGGGGCTACCTTGTTTAAGAGCTGGAAAATCCCTCCACACAAAATTCTTTACTGCTTTTTCCCTATTTTGTTTTTCTCCTTTGTATTCACCAGTATTTAACATACTGTATCACTTCTTTTACTTTTTAAATTGTTTGTCTTCTCCACCAGAACATAAGCTCCATGCCAGCAGGGAGTTTTTGACTGCAGTGGGCATCTGCAACCCCCTGACAGCCCCTACTCTGGGGAAGTGCGACAGAAGTTTACAATCAATGTCTGTGAACAAATGCGAGCTGGAGTTTCCCACAGACCCCTCACCCCAACCCCCAGATTGTGAGTCAGCTGCTATTTACCAGCCTCCTGCCTGTCCAAAGATCCCGACCGTCCTTCCGGGCCACTCATTCCAGAAGGCTGGAAAATGTCACGGGGTTATGGGACTTCCTCACTGAGCTGAGAGTCTTGGGAGAATAAATGGAAGTGGTGTGCTGTCAGCTCAGGTCCAAGTCGAAGTGAAAGAAAACAGACCAGGCGTTGGCAGTGTAAACCTAGGGCATGGTGGTCCCAGGACAGCGAGAGGCCCCTTCACTTAAGTACTTCTACCCTAGGCTTCAAGTGGCCGCAATGGATGCCTTTTTCATCATGCCTCCAGAACATCCCCTTGACCTTCTATAGGGTGCCAAGGCCATCCTGAGTAAAGGGAAGTGGCTGCTTCCTCCTCAGTTTTGACAAGTGACAGGGATGCCAGAGGTCACACAAACAGAGCTTACGATGTAGAAGCACTGATGGCGTGGATTACCAGGATCAGCTCTCCTGGGCCCAGCACCCTGCTGTATTCCAAGGCTAAGAGCCTTGGCTTGTAGACAATCCCCTTGCTGTGTCCAGGTGGCTGGGACTCACTTCCCCAGTGTGGAAGGAATGTCTCTAATACGCAGTGGCTGGGGTGAAGACACTGACACATGGAGCCCCCAGCCACTTATTAACAATGTGGCCATATCAGGAAATTTGGGAGTGAAGGGATGTTGGCAAAATCACCCAGGCACACACGCACATACCCATACACATACACACACAACACTCCCCAGGAAAATGGTGACGCAGGAAATGAAATCTACCGCTGAGAAAGAGTAACCAGAAGCCACCAGGTCAGGCACACTCCCAAACCCTGAACATAGTAAAAGTCACTGCTCAACACTGACCTCAACGCATGGACCCTCTGAGAACAAATTCCCATCTTCTCCATGAGCCCCCTGTGAGGGTCCCTCACTACACTCTGACCTGAACAGGACGAAGAACCAGGAGCTCCTCTGTGCATAAGTCAAGGATCAGGACTCAACACGGGCTCCGGGGCACACTAGTGTTCGAGGCCCCAGCATGGAGCAAAGGACATATTCAAGGACCCTATGTTCTTGAGGGTGGCAGCAAGATTTTATCCTCCACCGTGATGAGAAGTATAACCCTCACTCTGTCACTGAACTCACCCAACTACACCATCCTAATCTGTTCTGTACTGATTTTATACACCCTGGAGAGTTCTATGTTTCCGGCTGTCAGGAAAGTTCCTCTTCTCCAGCAGGATGAGCACGTGGGTCCTGACGTCTCCTCCACCCCCAACCTGTCCTCATCCCCCGCTTGCTGCCTGAGCCTGTGCATCTGTGTTCAGGTGCTCAGCTTTGGAAACTCCACTCCAAATCCCAGAGCTGTCATTGGCCCCAATTCCCAGGCAGGTCCAGCCTCAGCCTTTTGCAGAAAGGCAGTCAGTGACTTCTATTTTCACAGGTTCCCCAGAGCCCCTAGATCATTACAGGACAGTTTTGCTGGTAGAAAACAAAACTTCCCTGGATCTGATCTCATTCCCATGTTAATAAGCACTGCCATTTCCTTGTTGGTTGGCTTTGTGACATTTCCAGACCACAAAAGCCACAAGAAAAGCACGTGGCCAATGCAAACACAGGCCTCCCGACTCACCTGCCACCAGGCACCGAGTGCTCACAGGCCCCATTTCTGAAGGTCCAGGGCAAGCCTGTGTAGATCCCTATATACCCCAGGCCCATCCGGGCTCCCTATCCAAGTGTTCTGAGGAGCACTGGGTACAGGGGGAGGCTGGCATGAACCTTCGCAGGAACTCTGAAATTTCCAAATGATATTTACATCTCTGATGACATCAGTTTATCCTTCTGAATATAAAAGTATCTGTCAATGCCAGCCTGCAATCCCAGCCACTCCTCTCTGCTAATTATAGCTCTTCCCAGGCAGCCAGCACTCCAGCCCCAGTGCAGGAAGCAAATGGCCTATTTGTCAAGCAGAACAGCTTCAGCTAAACAGGGATAGGGCTAGGGGAACACAGCATGCCCATTTGGGGCTACAGAGAGAAAGAGCATGCTGCTGGCAGCCCACGGGGCTTTGTAGCCAGGGAGCACTTTCCACAGGCTGCAGAGGAGACCTGTCACCCATGATAGCCTGGGTCCCTTCTGAACCCTGCCGCCTGGAAATCAGCTTCCTCCTGTGCAGGGACAGGCCCAGCTCTGTGCAGCTGCCAGGAAGCCTTCCAGACCTGTGTGTCCTTCAGGAAGCACCTGGTCACCAGTCCCTGCTGGCTCACCCCCAGCTGGGGCAAGATTATGCTTAAAGGTCTACCTTTACCCCAAAAGGCATCAACTGGGCTCCGACTGTGTTCCACGCTCTATGTTAGGCTGTAGAGTCAGAGTCGCAGGGATCAGAAAACTAGATGTGGGGGAAGGGAGACTGAGAGACTCTAGAAACTTCAGTCCAATAGCTGGAACTCCAGAGTCTTGTAACTGGGCTGGAGGAAAAAGTGATCCCTTTCATTTCATTCACCGCTGCCGCTGTTTGGCTCTTGAATGGCTCCCAAAGGCTCATGTAATGAAGGTTTACTCCCCTGGGTGGCGCTGTTTGGCAACGCTGGAAGCTTTAAAAGGTGGGGTCTCATGAGAGGTCTCCAAGGCTTACCCTTAAACGGGATGATGGGACCCTGGTCCCTTTCTCCTCTTTTTTGCTTCCCTGGCCGCAAGGTGAGAAGTTTCTGCTTCAAGCTGCCCCATGATGTACTGCCTTGCCACAGGCCAAAAGCAACTAGGTCAATAGATCATGAATCGGAAACCCCAAAACTATGAGCCAATATAAACCTTTCCTCTTCATAATTTAATCATCTCAGGTATTTGTTACAGTAATGGAAAGCTGACTAACATAACCTCTTACTGAAACATTCCTTTGAATGTTTAAATGTAGGGAACAAACCAAGGAGGTTAACAGCACCTGTGACTTTATCTGCAATAGGTATCACATTACAGTTATTGCAAGAGCTTAAAATATCACTAATACTCCTCATTCAACACTACAGCAGTATCAGACCCAATGCTAGATCTTGTGATTTAATGCAGTGGCAAGGAATCACGTTGTTAAAAACACACACACACACACACTGTTACTGTACCATAAATTTGGTTTTGCTACATTTTAGTAATTTTATCTCAATATAATCAATTTCTTT